TTCCTGTTGCACAAAACCTTTTGCTACTAGCATAACTTTATACCACACATTAACTCCATTAAATTCTTCCTTCTTGGCATACACCCATTTGCATCCAATGACTTTTCTTTCTGTAGAAAGTTTCACCAATCTCCAAGTAGCTTTCTTTTTAAGAGACTTCAAATCTTCATCCATAATCCTCTTCAAAAGATCTCCAAAATTCCCTTGTAATATTAATAGTAGAATAACCAACAACAAAAATACCAATTGCCCAATAGAAGAATAACAAAAAATAACAAAATAACCATATGAGGACTAGTATATCCACTATACCAAATTACCAAAATTTTATATACTAATAGGAAAAAAAAAAGTTGTGCTTGCTAATTACCAAAATAGCAAAACATTACTCCCCATACTCAAAGAACCATTCAAGGGACCTCATTACAGCCACTATATTGATCATATGACCAATGAATTGAATATTACTTAAAGCCACTTAGTTGAACATACATCCACTGACATTGAACATACAACCATTAACATGGAATATACAACCACTGAATTGTACGTACAACCACTGAATTGCATACAACCACTAACATTGAAGGGACTTGAACATACATTCACTGACTTCAACATATAGCCATTAACTTCAACATATATCCATACAACCACCGACTTGAATATACAAACACTTACTTGAGCTCAACAACAATAACAATATGAATGATAGGACTCATAACAAGAAAAAAATAATCAATCAAGTATAATCAACACTTCAACAAGCTCCCCTCGCTCTCTTAGTTGCTAAATGACCTTCCAAGGGGAGAAGGTATGCTTATTAGGGAATAACAATAATTTCCATTGAAAAGTACAGAATCCCATCATACCTTAAATTTTAGAAAACTCAACAACATGATGAACTAGAATTGAAACTCGAAAGGCAGCAACAATAATGCAACATATTAGATATTCAAGTTAGTGGATGTATGTTCAAGTCAGTAGGAGTAAGGCACCATAGATTAAAATATATAAAACCCAACGACAACATGAATGAGGATTAAACAGACAGGGGACTCAGGGAGAACTGATAATACCTACCGACAACTATATATTCAAGTCAACAGCAACAAGCCACCATAGCACCTCAGTCCCCTGGTTACCAAATGACCTTCGAAGGGGATAAGCTATGCTTATTAAGGGAATAACATCATCGTCAATGGCAAAAGAAAAGAATCCTAATGGACCTCAAAATATATAAATTCAAATGATATCTAGAAGAAATGAAAGGATGGCATCAAGGCACTAAAATGATATAATATAGGGGAATCACAAAATAGAACTAGGGAAAGTAACAGAGAGTTCATGTTTTTTGAATCCAATCAATAAAAATAATATTAAAGTGGGTAGGAGAGATCCCCTCATTAACAATTGCATTCTCTCTCTTGTATATCACTCGAGGAAAACTTATAGTGAAATGATTGTTGATCCTTCTGGATAAGTTCGATCAATGGAGTTTTGTATATTTTCTTACCCAAGGAAGCACATGTCATCACTCTAGGGTATGACTAGGAGATTTTTCTCACATGGCTGCAGGTCGCAGGCAGGTCGCAGCCATTACAAAACATGAGCTCTTAAGAATCATAGAATAAAACTAGGTCTTCAAAAGCTTAAACCTTATACGTGAGTGAATTTAGCGGTGCGGTGGAGTGATTGTATTTTATTTATTTTCAAACGAGCAGCTTCATGAGTTTTTGAGTTGAGTCGGGCTCAGCTTGAAATTGAACTCGTATATTATACAAGCTTGACTAAAATCTCATACTTGAAACTCGATAAGCTCAACTAGTAGGCTCGTTAATGAGTCAAGTTCAAGTTGGCTCTTGAGTCAGCTTAACTCCCTTGCACCCCTAATTTAGATGTTCATCAATTGTAACCTCATATCTCATCTAAAACCGATATAGCCATTTTTTCATATGGAGATGATTATCCACCCTCTTTGTTAGATACTTATTCTTCAAAATCTTTCAGAATTTCACTATGGAAGTCTACATCATCACCCAATACTTAATCTCCTAAGATAAGCAATTTTTTGTCAAGCCACTGGCACTTCGATTCATCTTCAGTCAATCTCTCTCAAAAGTCTCTTCAAGACGTTTCTCGTCATCCAAAACAGCCTCTAGATTCAAAGAACATAGTGCATTCATCACTTCACATCTCCACATGCTAAAGTTTTCTTTGCCGTCAAATTTTGTCACATCAATTTTAACATGATGTGTAACCATATGATGGATTGACGCCTTCTCCATTGTCGAGGTGGACGTATTCATGGTTCCACCAAATTTCATAGCCTCCACAAAATTACAAGTGTCCCACATAGCCAGAATTACACCAATATGACTCTTCTTCTTCACTTGAACTAACCATATGAATTAAAATAACATATTAATCTCCTATTCTTCAAGCTGTCATTAGAAATCCCATCGAAATTTGACTATGATACTAATTATTATACAAAACTGTAAAAATAATCTAAAAATCAAAGCACGGTCAACACAATGATTTACGTGGTTCGATGAAGAAGGCTATGTTCACATGGAGGGGATTATTTCATTATTATGGAGAAACAAATATGTACTACAATTGACTCTCTCTCCTCTCATACCTATACAATAGCCCTCAAATTCCTAACTAATAGATTTGAGGTATATAAAATAAGCAAAAAAAAAAAATCTTTCTAATTAAATCTCAAATCAAATCATCTAATTAATACAATAATCATTCTTCTAATTAATACATTAATGAGCCATCAAAGCTTTCTAAATTAAGGCTATCCATTATTTGAAAAGATTTTCAAATTAATAAATTTGAAAACTAGAGATTTTTATCAATTTAAAATTTATTTTGTCATCTAAAAATAATTATTCAGTTCAATTAAAGCTTCATAATTTCGTTATACATGATCTTTGATAATTTAGATATATTTTGAAAAATGTCAATTTCTGCTTACCCAATTGAGCAAGATTTTATGTTGTTTATAGTAAAGGTATTTTGGCAAGTTCTTAATTAGTTCAATTATACTTTGCTTAATGTGATGCAATGAAATATGTGTATATTGATTGAAACACAAAATTTTGTTGGTAGAGAAAATGAATTTTGTTTGGGTTGAGAATGGATTTTATTGGCGGATAGAAGATATTCGAATAATCACTGTAACATGTTTGTTTATATTTCAATTAGTTTAACTACAATTTCAATAATTATTTAAATGCTTATTGGAATTCAATATCAATATATGTTTTAGTTTCAACTTTCCGTACAATACTTTAGTTTATTATTATTTTTAGTTCTTTTGATTAGAGATATTGATTCATGTTTTAGGCTAATACATCCTACTAAGTCGTGTTAGCATATTCTTGCTTTTGCTTCTATTTTCAAGTCAAGAAAATTATAAGGAGAAAACTGAGTAGCTTTTTATATATAACACTGCTCTATAATTTTTTGTATGCCTTTTTGGCTTATTTCATTTTTGTATGCTCAATTTTTTTTGTACTTTATGTTATCAAGCACGGTAATACATATATCTAAAATAAAAAATATATATTTTTGGAGGATATATAGAGAATCATTTTTTAGATTTAGTAGTCTTACGCTTTATATTATATTCAGTAATGACTTTGTGTTGTATAAATTAAAAGTTTAATTTTTCTCAACACATCTCCAACTGGATCTTAGAGTCAGTTTCTGGCTACTGCCACAATCAAGTACAATCTCTCCTGTGTGATATTAAGTCATATCCATTCAGATTGTGACACCTACTCTTTGTTTGCCAAAGATAAAACACAAACATGTACCTAACCAAGCTTAACTTTAAGATTTCTTTTTAGAATGCATGAAAAATATTTTTACTAATATAAATCTAATTATATTTCTCTTCTAATCTTATTTAACTTCAAATTAAGCCCCATAATTTAAATTGAGATAGCATTACACGAAAAAGAAGTGCCCCTATCATAAGTTATAATATTGTCCTCTTTATTTTTTATGTTACTATGATGCTATGCCATGTGGCTAAACAAAAATGCGTGCTTCTTTCTTTCCTTGAGTTGGAAAAGTGATTGGAATCATAATCATCCGGAAAAAGTCTGTTTAACTGACACAATTTTATTTTTTCTCAAAAAGAGAATTTTAACATAACAAATGGTTTTAATTTATTACGGCGGGAATCAAGCTATTATTAATGTCTTGCATGCATTAATATAAGAAAAATTAAATGCTTGTACTGTTCATGTTTAAAATTCTTTTTTTTAATATATTTGTCGTCAGTATAGCATTCTGTTTCGGTTTTTTTATTTTATTTTAGATTCAGATCTATTATGAAAACATTGTAATTTATTTTTTATTTTAATTAATCCTAAATGTGCGACAGGTATCCGTATTTCCTTTTTATTTATTTATTTACTGCTCGAAAGAAGTGAATGTAGGGGAGATTTCTTGGAACCATTACTGCCTCTCTGGTATTAAAGCACCAGGTCGAGGCCCGGAAGGAAGCCATCTCGACTGCTTCATCCTCTTCTGTAGCTCTTCTCATGAATTATCGCTCAATGCAAAACTCTCCAAACCTCGCAGGTTCTTTGTCTTGAGATCTCCGCCTCCTCCGGTCTTCTCTTTGAATCCCACCCTCTTCCATTTCTTCTCTCTTATCTCTCTCACTAACTACCTTGAGCTCGATGGCGCAAAAGCCTCTAATGCTCAAGGACTACCTTGAGCTCGATTCGTGCTCGGAGTCATTCTGGTGGGCCCCACTTCAGCGTGCCGGCGGCACCAGCGTACGCCGCCTGCTAGAAGCAGAGCTCGGCGGCGGCGGAGCCGATAAAGGCGGCTGGAGGCTGGTTCGGTCCCGATCCAAAGGCGCGCTCACTAGACTCTCGGCCATCATCAAGCTTCTGCAATTCTCTGCCGAAGAAGGGCCTGTTGCGTCGGCCGACGCCGTCTGTGGCGGCGGCCCGCCACGCCCCCCCCCCCGCCACGTCTCCTCCCTAGAAGTTTCTCGAAAAAACTGAGACGAAGCTTCTGGAAGAAGCGCGATCATGAGAAAGAGGAAAATGGCAAGGTAATGGTGAAGGATATTGTGCGGCTGGGTTCTTTTGATGAAGAGACGGTGGAGCGAAGCTCTTTGTTTTACCCTTCGCCTGTTGTTAGTAGATGTGGTAGCTCGTCGGACTTCCTCTTCTCCACCGCCGCAACCTCTGAGTTGTTCGTGGACGGGAAGGATTCGATGCCCATAAGCCCGAGAACTGAGAAGGGGGTTTTCGTAGGCCCCGGCGAAGAATCTCGCCGGCCGTCCACCGGATGCCAGGAGCCAGAGGTGAGCCACGCCATCGCTTATATTTATGATTATTCCATAAAAAACTAATTTTTTATATATTTTTCTAAGGATATATAAAATTTATACTAGTATTTCTTAGTTGGTTCGTTAGGTGAGCAATTAATCGTACTGTAGCACTGGAGCTGGTCCTCCATTAGAGCAGCTGTGATTTTTAATTGATAGCACTACACAGATCAAAAATCCTAAGCTGGAATCCCCAATAAAATCCTGACTCATGGTTCACTTTCTTAAATAAATTTTATTTTTATTTATAATTTTTTATCTTGTTTTACAAAATTGATTTGGATAAAAGATAAACTTATCTTAATTGGAGCACTTAAATTATAGTCATGAGAAGGAAAAAATTTTCTATCTTAAATTTAAATTTATTTAAAAAATGTTGCATTTAGTTTTCTTTTTAATTAAAAGGTGCTGTTTTCTTTGATAAAAAGCTAAAGCTGTCAAAAAAAGTTATTGAAATAAGATAGCCAATAATGTGGCATATGCTGCAACTTCTATGCATCATCAAACTTTTGTAAAGAACTTAATATAACCTCAACAATATAGTTATTTAAAAAGTTTGGCCAAACAAGAGAAATTATTTTGTGCGGACGTCGAATGGCATCTGGAGACCAACCAAAATACAGAACGTCACTTCTTTGATCGAAACTACGGCTTGATACTGCTGATGAGATTATGCCTAATTCGCTTTCGGACGTAGTGCTGTATCTGTGTCCGCACAGAATAATTTCTCCAAACCTTGACTTTCATCTCTCCTATTCTACATGTAATCATTACAAACATTTGGGTAGTCACAACTGATTTTCTTAAAATTATCAATTATGATCATCCCAAACAAACTAGAAAATCAGAATGACTGTATACTGAATAGTTAATATCTGCAAAATAATTTGTCTAAAGAGGTTATGATGGGATGAATGAGTATCATTCATTATATGATAAACCTCACATGCACCCCCCTTTCAATTTTTTTTTTTTTTTTTTTTTTTTGAAACATTTAGGCTTTGTTTCAGACGGTTTTTTTATGTTTACTGATGCACAGTTTATAGTACAAAAATTAAAAATTTATAGTAAGAAATTGTTTGAAGAAGCAGTAAGAAATTCTTCCCAACCGAAGCCTTGGTCTAATTAAGACAAACACACACTCGTCATACATGCATCATATATGTAATATTTGAATTCAATATATCTTAATTGATAAATAAAGCTCCCAATCAACAGATCAAGATGAATAACATACTGACATATAGACAACTTTGTTAATAGTTAAAGAAAAATACTGTTTTCCAAAGAAAATAACAGTAAACTGACGAGCACTTGGTCGATTTGTTTTTAAATGATAAATTAAGTCTTAATTTACTAATTAAATTAGGTGATATCCAAAAAAATTGAGTTTTATGATTTTCCCTTTCACCGGGTCTAGCGGAGCAAATCGTACTTCTAAGGACTGTTTATGTGTGCGTTTTTCTCTTTCACGGGGTCTACTGCAACAAATCGTACTTCTAAGGCACTGTTTAAGCCGGGGTTTACTTCAAAGAAAACTAAAATTCGAATTATAGAAACTCAACTTTTGCAGTCACTCTTTTTTTTTTTTTTTTTTTTTTTTTTTTTTGTAAAATGGCGATTATCAGTCCATATAAATTATGAACTTAGAATATATTTGAAATAGTTTTTTAGTTGTTTTATTTTTCAGACATTAAAATTATTTTTTATTTTTGCTTTTCTATTATTTTTCATTTTTTTTGTGAGAATATATTTTTTACCATTAGAATAACTAATATACTTTTATATTGATAATTGAATTCAAATTTTAACTAAGAATTTTTTTTTTTGTTTTTATTATCTAAATTAACTGCATGTAAGAGCTTGAATTTTTTCTTTCACCGGGATATTTTGAACAAAATGGAACTTCATTGGGCACTGTTCCTGGAATGCGTGGAGAGAGAATGTTTGCTTGTTTGTTTTTTTCTTAGCGGGGGAGTGAGAAGTTGGGGGTTTTACTTGGAAAGAAATTGAACTTGGAATTATAAAACTCAGCTTATTTTGCCACCCTATTTTGTCCATTGGAACAGAGAAGTTTATTATTTGGATGGAAACGAGCAGCTGTCGGTGGGTGTAGATGGTACCAAATAGCCTAGCACTGGACGTGGTCCGTCCTTAACGTATTTACTAAATCGGCAAACACTAAAGCTGATCAGCTTTTTAATAATATATTTTCCTTGGCCCTACATTTACTCTGCTACCAACAAAGCCAAAAAACCCCGCCACGCGTGCTGCTTTTCCTCTGCTTTTTACTGCGCTGACTCGCTGAGCTTACAGCGCTCTAGATTGTTACATTCAAAATCTCCTTGTTGTTTAATCAACTAGAGCCATTCCAATACTCTGCACACATCACAAGGGATGAGATTTTTTAGCTGTCTAAAAATTAGGCAAATTAATCATTGCTGTTTGTCCGGGTGGTGAAGAGCCGGCTGAGCAAAGTTCAGGTTCCTGGTTTGAATTTTTGGCAAGCAGTGAAAGCCTTAAGTGTTTGCCGGTGTAAATTGGTGTGGGTTGCATGCTAGGTCGACCAGGATTTTCACTTGCCTAATGATATTGCTTCATCGTCACAAAAAAGGCAAATTATTCTGCGCTTTTACTATGCTTTTGATCTATTTTTGTAAAAGGACAACTAATACACAATTTTAATTACATATAAAATATTCTTTTGCTAAGTATTTGCATAAATACAGCAAAAGCACAACAAAAGAGTAGCAAATACGTAATGATATTTGGTACGCTTTTGTTGTGCTTTTCAAATACTCAGTAAAAGGATAGCAAAATGACAGTTAATATGCAATTAAAATTGTGTATTAGCTACCTTTTTACAAAAAAACATCAAAAGCACAGTAAAAGTGCATCAAATTCGGACACAAGCTTGCATTTAGTGTCCGCACATAATAATTTGCCCTAAAATTATATCTATTTTTGTTACAATCAAAATTGAGATTGAGGTTTAGTTTGGGATGACTTTCTTAAGAAAGCCGTCCCAAACGAAATCTTAATCTTTCATCGTCCGACATATCGATCTCTACTTGTAATGAAGTTGAAGAAAGTTTATTCAAATACATTTTGAATATATATTTATATTAATTGGGTTTGAAAGGAGCAGGAAATTTGTGGCAAAGTAGGCATGGATTGCCCTTTCGAAGAGGAAAAGGAACAGCTCAGCCCCGTGTCCGTTATGGATTTCCCGTATCAAGACGAGGACGAAGACGAGGCAGTAGTGGAGCAGCCTTCGGCCATCTCACCTTGTTTTGAACAGAGCCTCATCAACATTGAGAGTAAGTTCTCTCTCTCTCACTCTGTCTCTCTCTGTCTCTCTCTGTGCTAATATTTTTTTGGGAAATAATCTGTGCTATTGTTTCTGGTTCATGTATTTCGCTACAATCACTTGCTATGGAACACTGTCTATTTTGTCGTCATCTGGTTGAAGGGCCACGTACAACCCGGTTCTTCCATCCCAAGTCCCAACCCGTGTTCTCGCCCAAGCGTTTGATTTGCAAATAAACCCACGTAAATATAAAAAATTCTTTTTTTTTTTATAAATAGTTAAATACTGTTATTGATGTGATACTGTGAATATAGGATCACTGTAGTCTATTTTAGAGTGCAATATTTAGCATGTGGGTGTCTACCATTTTATACAATGAGCAGAATTTAATATAAGTGGTAAGTCAATATCAATTTCTTAATACGCCCGTTTTAACCAGTTTTTACCTCAAAATCCGTTCTTGACCTGAAAATTCAAAATTGACCTGTTTTTTAGCAGAAAATTAGATATTGACCTATTTTTGACCTAAAACTAGCAATTTTTAGTCAGCTCCCGGTTATTTGAGTCATGTCAGGTTGACTCGGACCCGACACGGATCGGGTTGGATATGAAAAATCAACTCATTTACAAAAACGGGTCAATATCGGGTTGACTTGAATAGTGCCGGATCAGTTTCGGGTTTGACCCATGACCACCCAAAATTGGCACCCCGATTTCTTAATTCTTATAATATATGTTGATTTTAGGAGTAATTTTTTGAAAAATTCTCTTGAGTTTTATTAATTATTTATAAGGTAAGATTAGTTGTAAGATCAATTAAAGTACTGCCAAACATTAATATCGCTATTAGATTGAAAGAAATTATTTTATTATTATTATTATTTATTATATTATTATTATTATTTAATGCATGTGTATGGTGGAAATCATTCAACATAAATTTTAGTATAATTTTGAAACTGTAATTCTGTTACCCCAAAAAATAGAAACTCTAAGCCTGCATTTTTATATATTCTTTGTCCTTTGTATCACAGAACTTTGGTTCAACAGTTAACGTCACTGTTGCTTTATGAGTTGGCGCGCGAAATTTTGAAATATTATACTCCAAAAAATTCTTCAAAAATTGTGAAAATAGTTTCTATCCGTTTCAATTTTCTGAAGCGTTTTTGGATTTTTTTTGTCTTATTATCATTATTTGATTTTTATTTTTAAATTATAAAAAATCGTGAAAAATAAATCACGTCGCGTTGCTTTCTGTCTGGTGATGGGCAGGGACGAAGAATCAACTCCTTCAGATGATCCGACGGTTTGAAACCCTCGCTAATCTGGAACCCGTGGACCTGGACCACAGTTTTGCGTGCACGGAGGCCTCTGCGAAGACAACCGTACACGTGGAAACAGACGAGGAAGAAGACGGAAACGAGAACGAAGCGCGGCGGCGGCGGCGGCGGAGAACGGCTTTAGCTTTCCTCCGCCGGATCACCGACAACAGTTCTCTTCCGCCGTGCGGCGAGAAGCTTTTATTCGACTTCTTCGTGGAGGGTCTCTCTTTTGACGAGGACTGTCGGCGGGGAAAGAAGAGAGGATGCGCCGGCAATGAAGACCTGCTACAGTTGGCCAGCGATTGGGTGGCCGGTGGAGGAAGCGTGACGGAGAAGGACGGTGACGTGGCGGTTAGGGAGATGGAACGGTGCGGTAAAGGATGGAACTGCTTCGACGAGGAAGAGGAGACCGTGGCCGTGGAGATGACCGGCGGTGTGGTGGCGTGGCTAATGGACGAGCTGGTGGATGACCTGCTCGTGTCGGTGGCGTGATTAATTGTGAATTAATTAGGCCATCAATCGAAGACCTCTCTCGTTTGATGGGATTAATTAATTTAATTTTCTGTAATGATAAAATGAAAGAGTAATGCATATTAATCTCCAACTAAATTTACATTTTAAAAATTATATTAGTGTATTTGTAAATCCTTTATGAACCAAATGGATAAAAAATTAAAAATATTTTGGTCACAATGAATTTTAAAATTCAAAAAATTTATTTTGAGATCAACATCCTATTAATTATTTATATGTTATATTAAAAAAGGGAAATTTACATACATACCACTTTATAACATTCTATTACATATCTAATACCTAAAACTTTAATATTACATGCATACCAAAATGAACTATGGGTGGTATGTATGTAATATTAAAGTTTTAGGTGTTAAATATGTAAATAGAATAGTATTATGTGGTATGTATGTAAATCTCCCATTAAAGTTTTAGGTGTTAAATATGTAAATAGAATAGTATTCAACTGCTTCTTAAAGCAGCTTTTTAGTACAAAACTTAAAATTTTCATATCAAAATAACTGTTTTAAGAAGCAGTAAAAAAGGCCATCTTGAACAAAGCTAAATTTAATTGCAAACAAACAAACTCATAACTAAATTAACTAGGTAATTAACGTAACAACAAGCTAACTCTCAAAAATTTTGCCCCTAGTAGAGTTGATCAAAGGCATAGTGCTAATCATTAGTGAGTTGCATATTAGGCTAATTACTCTAACTCCCATTGTACCATTCAGCTAACTTAACATCACAAATGCTAGCCTTCCTATAAGCAAATCCTACGGTGTGTTTACACTACATAGTCCCCTCTAAGAAAAATTATTACAACATTTTTTAAAAAATTTATCATAGTCAATTTAAGAGACTTTTTGATCAATCCACTCATCTCTTGTGAGTCGATCTATTATTTAGTAATGCAGAGCATATTAGTTAAAATACTCTTTAGGCATATGTTATTTAGTTTGTTACAAAGATTCTAGAATGTTATCGATTTCTCTATGTTTCTTTTGCTAGCTTATAAGTATAAGAATTGTAAAAGGGAAGAAGCATGAATATATTTTTGGAATTTAACATTATTTTCACTAGTTTTGTATTCTAGCTCTAAGGAGCTTTATTTGTGATACTTCATCGAATGATCTCTCTACATCAGAATGGTATCACAGCGAGGTATGACCCTTGATGTAGATCTGGGCTGTTGCTACATCAACCCTTGACGTCGATCGGGGTTTAGGATGCTTTTGGGATGACCATGTATGAAGCTAGACTGTCGACGACATTCAAAGCCTACACCAGTCGGCAACCATACTGGCGAATCTACACATCCCCCGCTGGCAACCACACCAGCGATTCAATCTTCTGGCAACCATACCAAAATGAATCCACCACCGATTGCAACTATACCATCGGTTATCTTTTGGCACGAATTTCCATATGCAAACAACACCTCTCAATCGACATGCATCATTGATCAGAGTTCGTGCCTTTCCTTGTCCAGTCTGCACGAACAACCATGACGGTATCCACGACACTCGCGATCGCAGGCATCCACTCCAATATCAGTATCTGCGAGCTCCTCTACCTCTGATCAACTTTTCGCACACCCCGCCGCCACCTCCTTTGCAAAAACAGATGTTCTGCTACTCCCATCTTCTCTTCATCTCCCACCGTCCAAAACATGACTGAACAAATCAGCCTCATTACAGAGTTCCACGAACAGCACTTCCGGTGCTGATTCACTCGATCGTCCCCGACCACACCATACCACTTGAGCATCCAGCATCCGCCTTCGTGTGCGACACCAGCCTCATCAACCTTCATCTACATAGCATCACTTCTCCGTCTCTTGCTACATCTCCCTCTCAGTTGATGCTGACGTTGCTGCTTTTAGCGGGAGCAAGGGTGATCCCAGACTCTACCAAGCACAAGTGATCGGCTGTAATGTAACTTGGCTATTTGCACCCTCCAATTATTTGCTTGAATACAAGTTAATGGCGCCTTTTTAGATCCGTCCCAAGTCCGCGACCAAATCTCGCTTTCATCGACTCCGCCGCTTGCTTCTTTTCTTTGTACTGAAAGAGAATGATGCAGAGCATCTTAGTTAAAATACTCTTTAGACATATGTTATTTAGCTTGTTACAAAGATTCTAGAATGTTCTTGATTTATCTAGATTTCCTTTGTTAGCATATAATTATAGGAGTTGTAAAAGGGAAGAAGCATGAATATATTTTTGGAAGTTAATAGTGTTTTCACTAGTTTTGTGTTCTAGCTCTGAGGAGCTTTATTTGTGATGCTTCATCGAATGATCTCCCTACATCATTTTGCAGCCAAACTCTCAAGAATATATGAAGCAATTGATTTATCCTACTGCATCTCATCATCATTCCAAAGCCAAATAGAGATAGCCTACTAGCCATTTATAGCAATGTATATAAAATGCATAATTCATAATTCTAACTCTTATTTGAAAATTCTCTCCCTTATAGGAGGGGCAATTAACCATCAGAGTTTATGCCCATATAAAATCTTTAAACATAAAAAAAAGATATCATATAAGAGGAAAATTTGTCTAATTATTGATTTATTATCAGCTAGTTAGTGTATCTCCAAAAAATAAAATTACCCCACATAAGAATTTATTAAAATTATAAAAATTAAATCTCAAATAAATAAATTTTATGCTACAATACTTAAAATTCTCAAACTAAATGATAATAATAACAAGCCCTACATTAGGAGAGATTATTCTTTGTGGACACAAAACTGTCCAGAGGCAAATCAGAGTGTGTCACGTCACCCGTTCACAGCTATACAAAGCCGTGGTACACATCAAAAGAGTGAAGTGGTGCGCTCTGATTCTCCTCCGGATGACATCCAATATCCGCACTGAATAAATTTTCCTACATTAGAGACCAATTCCTTCACTGGCATAATTTTGAGAACAAAATTTGAGACTTTCTTTCAACATCAATGCATATGCGCGCATGACATGCATGTACATTTATTACCATAATCTTATCATTAGGTTCCAAATTAGATCATATGCCTGGACTCAGAAATGACGAAGGGACAGCACAGGAACATTTCCCTGGTTGCCCGAAGACCATCCAAGGGAAATGAAAGGGAGCTTCATCATCGTCCAGACATGGCAACCTACCGAATAGTCGCAGCGCCAAGACGAGCCAGCCAGCAATCCATAAATAACAAATATTCGACCTAGCAAAAACCATTACATTCTATTCAGCAATTCAGAAGAACTTCCCCATTTCATCACCTTAACAGAAATAATCCTCTTTAAAGCAAACAGTAAAGAGGTATGGCATACGGACTTACTTTCGAATCTCCTATTATTTCTTTCCTTCCAGATGCAGTAAATCACACAACAAACAATCAGTTTGTAGAAGTTGAACACATTCGGATTACCTTTGAAAACAACCTTCAACCAGTCAAAAATCTGAAGAATATTAGGCCGCATGAGAAAGCATTGCATCCCCGGAATAAGAGCAGTAATGATATTAAATGAGTAGGAACATTCAAAAAATAAATGGGAGACCGATTCAGCATGCGAATAACATAAACTGCAGATTTCAGGAACAAATATATGCCTAATACGAAGAGCGTCAGCCGTCTTAAGTCCCCCACACAGGGCAAGCCAGGCAAAAACAGAATATTTTAGGGAATGCCTTTTATGCCATACCATTTTATACCAATCACAAGTAGGTAAATCATGATAATACTCCTCTAAAAAATATTTAAATTTGGTGGAATTCTTGTTCTTCCAGAATAAACAAGGCCCAGCATCCCCAAAAGCAGGAAAAATGTTCCCAAGCAGATCACGCAGTGCTTGGGGAAAATTATCAGGGAAAACCCAATCCAGCCTAGACATAAGATCTTTCAGCAAGAGATCATGCATAGTAACAGGAATCCTGTCACCCAGATGAGCGTGAATGGTATCGTTATTATACCAATGATCCCACCAAAAAGAAATAGGAGCTTTACTTGATAATTTGAACTTAAAGCAGGCTTTTACCTTCTGAGCAGTTTTACAAATTTCTTTCCAGAATTTAGAGGCAGAAGCAGCTGGGGGCTTCCAAGGAGAGGAATATTTAAAATGAATCCAATCAGCGAGAATGGAATGACAGTTGTACAATCTACAGATTACCGAGCAATTGAAAGCAAATTGAATAGCCAAAATGGAAGGTAACCCCAAGCCCCCTTTCTTCTTTGGTAAGCAGATTTTGTTCCAGCCCACCATATGCAACTTCCTAGTATTGTTGATATCCCCAAAAAATAAGAACTTAGAACAGATTTTAGAGTAAATCGTATGCGCAGATTTAGGCAATATAGCACCACGAATCCAATATGCAATAGTATTTTGGATTGTGAATTTCAGATATTGTAGTCTACCACCAAAAGATAAAAGATTAGCCTTCCACCCATTCAATTTTTTGTAAAGACTGTCCACAAGAGGCAAATAATCCTCAACTTTAAGCTTGTAATAAGATAACGGGACTCCTAGATAAGTTATTTTGGTGACAATATTATGAATAGAGAGAGCTTGACAAATATCAAGTTGATTGCTTTGATGCTTGGGGAACATAATGGCGCACTTTTCATAATTGACATGAAGCCCCGTAGCATTAGCAAAATCACTTAAAGTAGTTACCAAGTTATGGTAGTTTTCAAGAGTGGCTTCTCCAAATATGAGAACGTCATCAGCGTAAAGAAGGTGGGTAAGGGAGAAATTACCAAAGGATATACCTTTGAAATTTCTATCTTCAAGTAAATTAGAAAGAGCGTCCATAACAATGCAAAATAGATAGGGGCTGAGAGGACATCCCTGCCTAAGGCCAGCAGTAGAGGGGAAGTATCCCTCCAAAGCGCCATTAATCAAAATAGAGTAATTAACATCAGAAATGCACGCTTTAATCCAATGGACAAATTTGCTAGAAAATCCTTTTTGAGAAAGCCTGGCAAGCAGAAATTCGCGAGCGACCGAGTCAAATGCTTTTTTAATATCTAATTTGGCACAAAAGGTTTTTGTCCCACCTCTTTTCCCAGCCCAGTATAGTAAGTCACTAGCAAGAAGAATATTATCCGTGGAGACTCTTGATTTCACAAAACCAGCTTGATTATCTTTCACAACCATATGCATGA